TCCCCTGCAGGGAGTGCAGGCAGGAAAACATTCTTCTTTATCTGCCGGCCGTTAGTGGAAATTTTTTTTATTCACCTGCAAATTGCAACCTGCCTGCACTTTACCATGCAGGTGATCAGCTCTGTAAAGGCCATTTAAGGCTAAGACAGCTCTGGATTCGATTTGCGGACATAATTTGTTTTTTCTTTTACAAAAAAGAATAGTAGATATACAATAAACCAAGATTTTTTTTTGGGATTTCATCAATTAACTGATGACAGCACTTCTTTCCTATACCGTTGTCACCATAGAATATACGCGACAAAAAGCATCATTTTTTGTATGATGATAAGATATAGTTGTTTTTGTATAGACGAAAACTTCACACGAGCTATGGAATCAAGTGGCAATAACATAGAAATTATTATTTATAATATACGTTTCACTAGAATTCCACTTGGAATGCATCTATTCATGATCAATACTTTACAGTCGTTCAAACCTATCTGTCGCGATACTGAAACCTTTTGGCACCGGGGGACACATTGTAAAAAGTAAAGTGTGCCCGTAGACATGTAAAAGTTCTAAGTGCGCAAGCACGAATCAAATTGCTGTGTTTTTTTTCTAGGTGTGTAAAAGTCTTTCTATATTCGCAGATGTGTAAATTCTGCCAGTATGTTTCTCGCACATCACAGTGTGCATTTCTAGCTGTGCAAATTCAGTGGGTTTTGGGCATACTTTATTTTTTGCAGTGCAGAGTCTGTAGATACCATGGATGTCGTTGAGTTGTTAAAATAATTATCTCTCATTATCATACAAAAAAGCAAGGACATGATGCTTTTCTCCATGTATATGCTATAGTGGAAACATTATAGGAAAAAGTGCTGTCATCAGGTAATTGATGATATTACGAAAAAAGAAATCTTTGTTTATTGTACATGTACTCTTTTTTTGTAAAAGAAAAAACAAGTTATGTCAGGAAATCTATGGTACAAGAACATGAATATGCGAGCAACTTCTTGTGTTTTAACAACTTTTATAGGCTTTCTTATCTTTCCTTGTTTAACTGTTAAATGTGATCTTACTGCGTCGGGTCGAATGTTTTCTCTTTTGGGATCAATGACCTTTTATGCATTTTAGATGACATCGTTTCTTTGTTTCCTTGGTTTTCTAATTCTTTTTATCAGTGCTTATCATATTAATTGTTTCGAAGATTTGAGCGAAAGCGGCGAACATCCAGACCTTCATCTTGATCGAACTAAACGACTCAGTCCGCAGTCTCTCGAAGAATATGCATCAAGCTTGGTTAAAAACTCAGCAACGAAACTACAAGATCTTCATAAAAATGAAACTCTTGTAAAACTTGTTTTCGACAAATTTAAACTGAAGCATGGCCGCCGTTACCATAACTCGAGTGAAGAACATCGTCGAAGACAGATTTTCGGTCAACGTATGGCACATGTTTTAAATGTTAATTCGAAAAACCTGTCACATAAGTTGGGATTAAATCATTTTTCAGATCTGACTGAACAAGAATTTAATCGACAGAAAAAAGGTCAGTACTCCCTGACTCATGGGTTTTCTACTTGAAATAATGCTCTTTTTTCCTTTTTGGTTCTCTTTTTTAGGTCTTATACCCGACCATAAAAAACGCACTCGCAAGCCCCGTTCAGTCTTCATGCAATATGTGATTCATAGCGCCAAAGTAAAGTCACAAACGAAATCGAAGCATAAATCAGTGACAAAAGCCCCACCGGCGAAAGGTGTAACAGCTTCGACTACATTAGATTGGGTAGCTAAAGGTCGTGTAACTTCACCAACAAACCAGCTTTCATGCGGCGATTGTTACGCATTTGCTACCACGGCAGTCGTGGAGGGGCTACTGGCAAAGAAAACGGCGAAGTTGGTTAGTTTAAGTCCACAAGAAATAACTGATTGTTCACAAAGCTATCAACTGCAATATTATGGACAAGGTAAGGTTAGAAAGAACTTTCCTTTGCAAAACTACTGGTCTATAATTCTGAATGAAAAGAAGACTAGAAGATCAATGCGGTAAAGCTCTTTTCGGTTGTCCTCCTCCAGTTACTAACGATCTTATAAGATGCGCTGTAAGCTCGGTTGAAAACGTTAGAAAAAAACTAGCTCCTGGCTATAACGGCCGCAATTGTAGAGCTTTTCACGACGCATCGTTTGGTGTATTACACTAGGCTAACAACTGGATAGCTGCGGAGAAATTTTCGTTTTACCGTAATACTGATAGCGCGCTAGGAGTATTTGTGTTCTAGTAGTTCTAGTAAATGTGTCCAATCGGAGTTGTTCCAAAGGATCGAAATCATCGAATAAGATGACTTTGATGAGTTCTGGATACATTGAAGCAATAAAATGTAGTGGATCGATTTCACGCCGTATGCGGACTGATCTTTTTTAACACCAATAGAGTTTTTACTACCGTACGATCAAAGGAAAAAGTTCGCATTTTATCAATAATTCTTCGTTCCACTTCGGGAACAAAATAAACATTGTCACGAGCTTCGGAGGATTGATAAACTTTGTTTCCACCTCTTTTGGACTGATAGGTAGGCATTCGAGGAAGTCTTGTACCGTCTGAATCATGATAACTAAGACCGGGAGGTCTTTAGTGAACGGTCTGAACTATCAAACAGCTACTCTGAAATCAAAAGCCCGCTCAAAGCGTGTTTTATAAAACCCTAAAAAAAAGGTTTTTTGTTCTTCGTACTAAACCCAAAGGGTTTTTGAAACCATTTAGAAAACCGTTCTTGTACTTTCTAACGCCACTTTCATGATTTTAAAAAGCCTTTAGGTGTCTTTTACAAAACCGGAAAGGGTCTATTACGTCTACTAAACATAAAAGTGTTCCGCATTATTCCAAATTAATTAATCGTTCAAAAAAGGGCTTAGTAGCGAAAAACGGTTTTCGAGCGTGTCTAATATACCTTTTTCGGTACTAAATTCTTTCGAACGGTTTAGTAATTTGGAATAAGACGGTACCCTTTTACGTTTAGTAGACGTGACAGACCCTTTTGTGTGTGTAAAAGACACCTGAAGGGTTTTTTAAAATGCAAAAGAGGTTTAGAAGCAACAAGAACGGTTTCGTAAGGTACAAAAACTGAGAAATACGCGGAGCAAACTTAGTCAATCTGAAAGGGCCATTTTTCTCAAGCATACACACCACAGATTATCCACTTGAATAAATTATATTCAACAATGTAACAAAAGATAACATGAAAATTTTAGAGGGTGGAGTGAATAGTAGAAAGTCAAAACTGCTGTGTATTCGCTTTAAACTGTCATGAACGTTTCACTGAAAACGACTTCTTTTCCTTTGTAGATAAAGATTATGGCATAGTGAGAGCGCCAGATGATCGAAAAAGACTAAAAGCTGATTGCATCATGTCCTCGAAGAAAAGTCCGAGTACAACATGGTGTAATCAAGTCAAAAAAAAAGAGCTAGAGCTATTTACAGCGCCTAAAATCCGTAATGCATGACTTTATGAGTTTCTTGGAGTATGTGCTTGACTTTGTTGTCTCATGTGCTTGAGTTTCTTGAGGTATGCACATTGTTTTAGATATTTCTTCCCTCATGCGCATACTTCAAGCAATTCAAGCACATGAGACAAGAAAGTCAAGCACATATCTTAAGCGTTTTGCATGAGTAAGAAATTCATGTGCATGGAGACAAATCTTGAGGTATGTGCTTGCTCATGTGCTAGAGAAAAAGCTTCACTAGGGTTCACAAGCGAATAAACCAAAAGACATCAGGCTTTCTCACTTTTAATTTAAGATCATTGTCAATCATATGTCCAATCAGAACTGCGAAACCAGCAAAGTGGGACTTAGTTTATCTACGGAAGAAATGTTTCTGAAAAGAATACCCCACAGCGTATAGAAAACAGATGGTTCAGGATTATGACTACAGACATTAGAAGAGTATTAGTAAAAAATGAGGACACCCATGGACATAGACGCACATCCTCTGAGAAGCTGAATTATGCTCAAGTTTTATCCAACGAGTTAAAGGTTAGCTGCAAGTAAAAACTTGAGCATAATTCAGCTTCTCAGTGGATGTCCGGTTCGCATTTTTTACTAGTACCCAACACTAAAAGATGTTTATGTACAGTAGAAGAACAGCGGGCCAAAATTGCTGTGTACGTTCTCTGACAAAAACATTAAAAATTCATTGCACCATTTTCTCGAAGAAAAGTCCGAGTAAAATATGACGGAATCAAACTTAACGAGCTGGAAGCCTCCTACAAAGCGATAGATCGATTAGCCATGACTTTCTTCAGGTATGCGCTTGAGAAATAAAATGTCACTAGGCGCAGTTCGAAGCAGTTCTCTTCTTCGACTGATGTGAGCGAATACTTCGTTTCAGGACGTTTTTTCTGCTGAAGAAAAAACCGTTTACCGTTTGGACCGTTTCTTTTGGCGGTGTTCTGTAGAAATTTCAGGCAGGGGTATGCATAAGCCCTGGAATTTAGAGGAACTTCAGAGCTGTATTTTGTCAAGTATTTTTCTCTTTCTCCTTTTAGAAAGTGGAGCTGGCGGTTGTGGTGGCGGGGGTTTCGTTCCTTCAATTCAATATCTGAACTCAAACGGCGGACGTCAAGCTCGTTGGAATGATTATCCTTACGTAGGCGATCAGCAAGGTTGCCGAGCTTCCGCCGTTTCTCGACAAACAATCGGAGCTAACATTAAGTACACGGCTGTGAAAGAAGGTGATGAAGCTGCCCTCTTGCAAGCTGTTACTCGAGGACCAGTTTTTCTGGCTATTAATGCAAACACACAGACGTTTATGTCTTATGCAAGTGGAGTTATTAACTTATCAGCACAAGACTGTCCAAACAGTCCATATTCATTGGATCATGCTGTGACACTTGTTGGCTATGGTTATGATTCTACAACGAAACTGAATTATTGGAAAGTGAAAAATAGCTGGTCTACCAGCTGGGGTGAAGGTGGCTATTTTCGTATCGCAAGGGGAACGAAAAATGTATGCGGCGTTGCTTCAGGAGCCTGGGAAGGAACACTTTGAATAACCGGCGTTTTGTGTTATAATTTACTTTACTTTATAGTTGGCACCTAGAGTAATACGATAGTTTAATACTTTGTATGAATTTTAGACCTTTCTTGCAACCGCTGCATCAATAAAGTAAATCTCTAAAGTATCAGCGTTTTATTTCATTCAACGTACTGGGCCTCCTTCTACTCATAATTGTACTGGTATTTTCCATATTTCTTCTATTAAATAAAGTTTATAACAATAGCAGTACTATTCATAAGATAAAAGAAAACAGATTGTGAATTGTGCTCTTTTCAAGCTATTCGTATTTATTTGTTTGTTCAACAATTAATAGATAACTCCCAATTTGAAATAACACTGAACCGATCAGGAATGGATGTAGACTACTCAACGATAGTGGATACACAAAATAAATTTCTAGTATACCACCTAATTCAAATAATAAACTAGCAAAAGTATTTAATACTGTTATCCAATGTCAATCTAATTTTGAGAATTTTAATTTAAAATAACTATGGCAAACATTACAAAAACTGAAATAACTACTTAGTGTAAAACCCATACAGCCAAATATATTTGGGAACGATAAGGTGCCGGTAATGCAAAACTGGAGTGAATTTTTTTTCTCGTTCGTTTATATATGGTTTGAAAGCCCTTGAAAAGCTGATCAAGAATATATACTTTTTATTTCGATTCGACCTCTCTTTGGCCGAAAAAACTTTAAAAAAC